AACCTTTAAATCATTACTATAAATGAAAAAGGTCAGTTACTGATATCAAGTATCTGATGTAAGTAAGTCCGTAGAAAGAAAAAGTCTGGCAAGATTTCTCAGTAGGTAAAGGCACTTGCTGCCAAACTTGATATTGAGTTCAATACTCAGGACCCACATGGTACAAGAACAGACTCCTGCAAGTTGTCCTCTGACCTTCACAAAAACACTCAAATTCTCTCTCACTCAGACATGTTCAAATAAATGTTGAAATCAACAAAAGGAAACCATCAAGTGTTCCCAAATTTCCCTGTACCGTTTTATATGGCTGTTTTTTAATTTTTTAAAGACAGACCGTCTGTCCTGGAACTCACAGAGATATGCCTCTGCTTCCCAGAGTATATACCCTTCCCAGATATACCCTCTCCCAGAGTATTGAGATCAAAGGCATGTGCCTCTACCACCCAGCCCATTTTTCATTCTTAAGAGGAAGTTTCCAAGTTTCCCAAATCAATAAAATCTTCTGGTATTGTCAGCCTTACTGATCCCAGCCTTTAATTTTTAAAAATTTATTTATTCATTGAGACAAAGTCTCACTATGTAGCCCTGGCTGGCCTGGAATTTGATAGGTAGACCAGTCTGGCCTTGAACTCACACAGATCTGCCTGCCTCTGCCTCCTGAGTGCTGGTATTAAGTGTTTGCATGTGAGTACAGGTGCCCACAGAGGCGCGATTATGAGATACCTCAGAACTGGAGGTTCTGGCTGGTTCTGAGCCACACCCAGCATGGGTGCTAGGAACCAAATTTAAATATTCTTGCTTTTAACTCCTGAGCCACCTCTCCAGCCTGCACTCCCTTCTTCCACCAGTGCTTGGGATTAAGCTTAGGGCCTTGTGCCACTAGACAAGTGCCACACCATTCCTTTATACCCTAGCATAGAGAAATTTTAATGTAGAGCATGCAAAGACCTTCTCGGTCTGTGTGACCCAGCTGGAATACAAACATAACTTTAACCCTAGGTCAAGAGGCAGAGTAAGAAACCAGTTGACAGGGATTAAAGAGTAGGAGAGACTTTGGGTTGAGGGGTATTTAAGACATTGTGTAGAAAGGACTTTTAGCTCTCTAGCTCTTTGAGTTTTAGCTCTCTGGTTTTTGGGGGGCTTTTTTTTTTCAACATTTTTTTTCTTTCTTCTTTTTATTAATTACAGTTTAATCACTTTGTTATCCCACCTGTAGCTTCCTCCCTCCTCCCCTCCCAAGCTCACCTTTCTTCCCTCTACTCCTCCCATGGCCCTCCTCCAGTGCACTGACAGGTGAGGTCTTCCTCCCCTTCCTTCTGATCTTAGTCTGTCACTCATCAGGAGTGGCTGCATTGTCTTCCTCTGTAGCCTTGTAAGGTTTCGAGGGTAATCAAAGAGCCAGCCACTAAGTTCATGTCAGAGAGAGTCCCTGTTCCCATTACTATGGAACCCACGTGGACATTGAGCTACCATGGGCTACATCTGTGCAGAGGTTCTAGGTTATCTCCATGAATGGTCCTTGGTTGGACTATCAGTCTCAGAAAAGACGACTGTGCCCAGATTTTTTGTTTCTGTTGCTCTCCATATGGAGCAAGCCTTTGGACTTGGGTTTTTTGGCCTTTTCCTTCCGGGCTGAGCTAGTGAGCCTTTTGTGCTTTTTCCATCTGGACATAGGCTGAGAAGGAAGGTCAGCTGGGTGCTTTCTCTGCCTCTCTGAGCTAGCAGGTTTTTACCCCATCATCTGGCTCCTGAGTCAGATCGGTTAGGATTTTCATTTTTTATTAAAAACATCCTGATTATAGACTTTTTAATATTTGATAGTGTAGCTCCTTGTTCCTATTCCTACTGCATTTCCCTAAGGACTAATAATATTGAGCTGCTTTCTTATTTGTAATAATAGCCATTGTATATATTTTATTGGGATTTCCATTATTAAATTGAGTTTTAATTGACTTTTAACCTTTTCTGCATGTCAGTCCTTTATCAGCTTTATGGTCTCTTAAGTCTTGTGTTCGTGTGTGCACGTGTGGGTCATAGGTATACAAATATACATGTGGAGTTATACATGTGGGGTCAGGAGACAGTCTCAGGTGTGAGTCCTCACCTGTCACCGTGTTTGAGTCGGGGCGATCTCTACCTTGAGCCTCTCTGTCGGGAGCTCTGGGACCCCAGACATGTGCACTACTAAGTCCAGCTTCCATGTGGTTTCTGAGGTGCAAACTTAGCTCAGCAGCTTACATGCCAAGTTCCAGCTCATTTGTGTGTGTGTGTGTGTCTTCTTGCATGTGTCTAAGTGTGTGTCCATGTCTTTGAGATGGGGCCTCAAGTACTTCAGTCTGGCTTCAAACTCACCATGTAGCCAAGACTGGCCTGGAATTCATAATCCCCCTGTCTGAACCTCCTAGAGAATGCCTAGGTAACAGGTGTGCACCATCTAGATTTATAATTTTCAAGTGTTTTCTCTCAACCTTTGATTTCTTTTTGTTTTTAGTATGCTGTCTTTGAAAACTAGCAGTGTCTGTTTGTCTCTCTGTCTGATTTAGCTCAGTCTGGCCTTCCTGATCCTCCTGCCTCTATGCTTATATGATGTGCTGGAATTACAGTTGTGTGCTGCTCTGCCCAGCTATCAGCTCTCTCTGGATAGTGCTTTTGTTGCTGCTTCAACGTATCTTCCTATAACCTGGAGACCGCAGAGATTTCTCCTGTTGCATTTTACAAGTTTTTGTTTTGTTTTGGGTTTTGTTGTTGTTGTTTTCTCGAGACAGGGTTTTCCTGTGTAGCCTTGGCTGCCCCGGACTTTGTAGACCAGTCTGTCCTTGAACTCACAGAGATCTGCCTGCCTCAGTCTCCCCAAGTGCTGGGATTATAGGCATGCGCCACCAAGATCAGCGCTGTGTTTAGTGTCCAAGAAAAAAAGAGGAATTTAATCCTTGATTAAAGCAACAGCAAACCATACATACACGTAAAGAGGAAGAACAGGTTCTTAGCTACAAGCAATCTTCCTGTTAGATTAGTAGTTGTATTTCATTTATTATTATTGCGTGAGTGGGGGTGTACTATGGAGGGGTGTGTGTATGCGTGCATGTGTGTGTGCACGTGCTGGGTTTCAGACCCTGGACAAACTGAGGTGCATCTTTAACATACCAAAGTGGACCTGGCTTCCAGGTTCTCCTAGCATCCCTCAGTCCTACGTGTCACAGGGCATGGCTGGCATACCCTGCTGGTGTACCCTGCCCTCTACCCTGAGCTTGCCAGCCAGGAGCTGGGCTAATCCAGACATTTGGCTCCCTCCCTCTCTCTGTATTTTCTTTCTTCCTGCCTGTCCATGCTCTTTCTCTTTTTCTCTTCCTCCTCCTCTCTGTCTCCCTCCCCATGGTGACTTCCCTGGCCTCATGTCTTGGGAGCAATGAACTCACTGGAGAGCTGCACCCAATCAACCTGCCTTTATGCTTTAATTTGACTTGAATTGGCACATTTTGTCATCAGAGAAAACCTGTTACCTGAGACAGAAAGAGAGAGAGAGAGAAAACGTGAGAACTGAGGGCAACTTTGTGAAGCCTGTTCTTTTCCTTCCATCATGGGTATGGAAAACCTTGTGCTCTGAGGTTAAACTCTGGCTATTTTACAAGCTTTTAATAATTGTAATTCTTGTTTTTAGGTTTTTGCTCTATCTGGAAACTTTTTTGTGCCTCTGTGTTCCATGCTGAAAAACTGTGTGGGCTATGGAAATGGACAGCGCAGTGGTTAAGAATAAGGTTGCCCTTCCAGCAGTCCTGGATTTGGTTTGCAGAAACCACGTTGTCTCATAACTGCAGTTCCAGGGATCTGATGCCCTCTCTGACCAGGCACATATGTGGCACATGCAGGCAAAACAAGAAAAAAAAGAAAGAAAAGGCTGCCATTTGAGAAATGCAGGGCGGAGAGACAGGATCACTGCAAGTCCAAGGTTAAAGTTGTCTGCATCCCACCCAGCCAAGGCTACATAGTGAAACATTGTCTCAGTCTCCTCCCTAAAGTCTTTACATAGCTCTGACTGACCTGGAACTCAGTTTGTAAACCCTGCTGTCCTAGATCCACCTGCCTTTCGCTTCCCAAGCGCTGGGATTAAAGGTGTGTGCCACCGTGGCTGGCTGCCAGTTGACTCTTAACAGGAATTTTTGTTTTGTTTCTTCTGAGCTTTTCTCTGAGTATCAATACTTGGTGCTTATTTTTATGTCAGGTGCTTTATTTTATGACAGAGGCCCTGGGGTAGAGCCTTTGTCTAAGTGTGTGCTCAGTATCAAAGTGTGTCGATAAACTTAATACTAACTTTGGACCCTTGAACTTACCAAAATTGTTTTGCTTATACTTTAAAAAAAATCTGTATAGATTATGGAATAGACAGCTTTCAAAACTTTTGTGAGTTTAAATTTTACTTGCCTTGAATCTAAACTTGACTTTAGCCAGAAAGCCTATATTCAATAATTGCCTTCTATCTATTAGTTCATTTGAGAATTGCCCTTGTTTGCTTAGATTTCGTGTATGTGTCTGTTTGTCTGTGTCTTGTGAGTGAGTGCTTGGTGCACCTGTGGGGGTCAGTTGACAACCTGCAGGACTTGGTTCCTCCTCTTATCATCTGGGTCCTAAGAATGGAACTTAGTTCATCAGGCTTGCTAGTAGGTATAGTTACCACTTACCTGTCTTGCCTACCCAAGGATTACCTTCTTGATACTGAATCTTTCATTTTTGACCTTTCCATTTCCTTCTAGCTTTAAGAAAAAAACACCCCACCCCTCTTTTCTGGGTTTGGTGGCCCACACCTCTAACCTCAGCACTCCAGGAGGCAGAAGTAGGCTAATCTCTTGAGCATAAGGCCAACCAAGACATAGTGAAAAATAGAAAACAAAGTTCGTTTTTTCCTGAAAGATGGTTTTTAGATGGTGTATTTGTAATATTTTGTAAATGCTATTAGACTGGAAAACAGTGGTGTCTTGTAATTTGTTTTATGTTTGTATCTTAAGGGTTTCCAACTGACTTTCTTGAAGAGAAAATGGCCTATCAGGATTATCAGAACGCCCAGAACTGGCCAGAAGATGCAGGCTTTTGTTTCCAGCCCCAGGAAGCGTTAGATACTAACCAGGCTGGTAAGTGCAGGCTGTATGTGACTGTAAATGTGCCTTGTGAGAGAATAGGTGTCAAAGCTCTAAGTACCACTAAGAGAAAGCATTTTAGCTTCAAAATAGCTCAGTAAGGCGTGGCCAAAGTATAATTATTTCCATAATGGACCTTTATCTTTCTTTGTTTTTGTTTGAGATAGGGTTTACACTGTCATCCACACTGGCAGTTCTCTTTCAAAGTGCTGGGATTACTTGGGAAACCGAACGCAGCTGTATATATTCTCCAGAAGCACTTAATTCCCTTTAGTTTTTTTTTTTAAATCATTCGTTTATTAATTACATCTCATTCACTTTGTATCCCAGCTGTAGCCCCCTTCCTCATCTCCTCCCAATCCCACCCTCCCTCCCTCCCTCATCTCCTCCCATGCCCCTCCCCAAGTCTACTGTTAGGGGAGGTTCTCCTCCCCTTCCCTCTGACCCTAGCCTATCAGGTCTCATCAGGAGTGGCTGCAATGTCTTCCTCTGTGGCCTGGTAAGGCTGCTCCCCGCTCAGGGGGAGGTAGTTTTTTATCTTTTCAAAACCAATCACCAATAAATTTTAGCACATTCATGTGCACTAAAAACGAACGGTTCAGTACTCCCTTAACACCCAAATTCTTTCCAAAGAAATTACTGCAATAATAATGGTGCTTATTTTATGCCGGAGAACTGACATGCTAAAGTTGTCTTCTAGTCCCAAGCTTTTTTTTTTTTAAAGCTAGCCAGCAGTGAGCTACATAGCTACATAGCTCACTATGTAGCCTGGCTAACCTGGACTGGAATTCTAGGGTTAAAGCATTCACCACCATACTGATCTCAGCGAGCATTTGAAATTCAGTGTTCTTTACAATATCCACATGAGGTGAAAAAAAAAAAATTGACCTTGTTCTACAGATAACCTTGTAGTTGAGTTTGTTCAGTTTGATTTTTTGAAATAGGCGCTCTTTGTCTGACTTATGTTGGCCTTGAAATTGATGTTGGAGTTACAGGGATATATCTTCATGTCCAACATCATTTTGTCATTTTGTTTTTAATTTTTGTGTGTCTCTATCTCCAGCATTGAAATTACAAGCATATACCACCATACCAGACTTTTTGTGTGGGATGTGGGGATCTAACAGGTTTAGATCTGCTTTTATGGCTGGCACTTAACTGCCAAAGCTATTTCCTTAGCCACTATTTTTTGTTTGTTTTAATTCCTTAAAAGTATGTCTCAGCATATTGAAATTTTAGTTTTCTCTGTACTTTTTAGAGTCTTAAAGGAGTATTGAATGCTCTTTCATGAAGTTTTATATTGGTTGGCTTTCTTAGAAAAGCAGTTTATTTATTTATTTAGTATGCAGTGCTCTATCTGCATGTACACCTGCACTCCAGAAGAGGGCACGGGATCTCACTATAGATGGCTGTGAGCCACCATGTAGGCTGGGAATTGAACTCAGGACCTCTGGAAGAGCAGACAGTGCTCTTAACTTCACAGCCATCTCTCCAGCCCCCAGAAAATAAAATTTTAAGAAAACAGTGGATTATATTCTATTATAACAAATGAATTAGTGAATTTTCGTTGTTTCTTTGTCATATATATTCATGCTGTTTAACTTACTATTGGCAATACAGATGTAATCAATATTCACAGTAAGTAAGAGATAATTATCTTGGTAGTATTCACTGTGTATGTGTCTTTGATTCTGTTTTCATTCTAGATCCCTTTAAGATGCACCATGATGGTGACCTGGCGGATCTGCTCTTTGCCGCCAGTGGCCCCACAAATGCTTCAGCATTCATAGGTCAAAGTGATCCTCTGGAAGACAGTTATGGTACGGCTTCATTTAGATTTATTATGCCAGATTTCATATCTGTGTATTGACTTACATGCCACATAATAAATGACAAATGATTATGAGAAGAATAAAAAATTTTGATGTAAGTTCTACATGAGAAATCTGCTTAGGGTGGCTTTAGCTTTGTAACCAAGGATGGCCTTTAATTCCTAATTCTCTTTTCTCCACCTCCCAGTTATTAGGGCCTTCACATCCAGACTAATGTAAAATTATGAAACATGATTTTGTGTGTGTGTGTGTGTGCGCGCGCTCTCGCGTACATGTGCACACACATGAACGCAAGCACAGCAGATATTTATGGAACTAAGAGATAACTTTAAAACAGCATATTACATAGCACCTTGAAGTGAAAAACAAAAAGGATAAGACTTTCTAGGGTCACTAGTGGCAAATTAGAGAATTCACATTTGAACTACTCATAAGACCCTAATTTCAATAGAGTATGGTCATATTCTTTGTCCACACTTTTCGTGGTCTGAAAATGAGATCTCATGCATCCTAGACTGCCCTCATACTTCTTATGTAGGAAAGGATTACTTCTTTTACTCTTTCTACCTCCACTTACCAAGTACTGATTACATATGAATGCCATAGGACTCTGTGAAGCCTGGAATCAGAGCCGGGTCTCTATGCATACCGGGCCGCAACCCTTCCTGCTGACCTTTTAGATATATGCAGCAGAGGCAGCAGTAGTTCCTACTTTTGAGAAATTATGATGATTAAATAAAATTATGTTAAATATATAGCATGGTGTTGAATACATTGTAATCAACAGTTATCAGTAAGCAATAGTATCATCATCTTGTCTTGTTTGCATCTTTATGTTTTGGTTGCTCTGAGCATCCTCCAACCACTTTGTTTTCTCTTCCTCTCCTTTGAAGTCTACAATATTCCATTTATTTTCAGACAAAATCTTGCTGTGTTATCTGGGGTGGGCTCACACTCATGATCCTGCAACCTTACTGGTAGCTAGGATTGCAGGTGTGTACCTCCAGCTTCATGTAGAATCTGTCCTGTCTTGTATTCTTTTATAACCTCTTTGCTTTTTTCTAGGTTAAGTCTCTTCATATTTAGATCACCCCATTAGTCTCCTACTCAGCCTTTCTGTTTTATTTTGTAGCTGGTTTTTAATAGCTCACTGTACTGATTGTCATGAATTCTTAAATACTTATCTTCTCATCTTCATGATGAAGATATTAAAAAGACATTCTTTATGTAATTTTAAATTTTTTTGATATATTTTATAGACCCTTTTCCCATGTTTTGTATGGTCCTCTTTGCCCTTTAGGATATGTCAGACCTACTTGAATAAGATTGATCTCATAGTTCTTGTCTTGTTGATGTTGTTTTGCTTTGTTTGTTAAGAGGGCTCTTAAATCTTAATATTGACTGTCCTCGTTTTCTGTTCCTGCTTCTAATCTGAAACTTTCTGTGATAACCTAGTTCTCAAAGTTCTTACATTCCTAAAGCAGTTAATATCGTACTGTTTACCTATTTTTTTTCCTCTCTAGCTAAATTGCAATAATCTTACTGGATGTGGTGGTATATGCCTGTAGTACCAGCTAGTGAGGAAGCTAACAGGAAGATCACCTGAACTCAGGAGTTTAAGGCTAATCTAGACAACATAGTGAGATTCTGTCTCCCAAAGAAAGAAATTTAATAGTTGGTATAGCTTGGACCATCTGATCTTAAATCTCATATTGTGTCTGACATGGAAGAGCATAATCCTTGTATTATGTAACTTGCTAATAATATATTAGGCATTTTCATAAAGGCAGGTTTTAATCTTTTTTTGTAGGTGAATGAAGGCTCGCAATAATGTGCTATCTACTATAATTTCATTGATGTTGGTATTGGTAGTGCTTGGTGTTCTGTATTCTAAATCTTTGTGAAGTCCAGTAGAAAGTAACCAATAAATATTAGTTCCTGATACTACTGGGATATAGTGTTTATATTATGCCTGGTAAGAATTTATCTCAAACCTAGGCTGTAGAGGGGCTCAGGTATTGAGAGCACTTGCTATTTAGCAAAGGACCAGAGTTTAACCCAGCACCCACAGAAGGAGGAGGCTCCTAACCACAAGTTAACTAGAGCACCCGTGGATCTAATGCTCTCTTTTTCCTTCTGCAGGAACCTGTATACAAGTATACACACATGGATATGCATATTCACTGATAAATTAAAGATGACAATATTTTGAGACGCATCTTTAATCCCTGCACAAGGCAGCCACAGTCAGATCTCTGCACCTACATAGAGAGTTCCAGATCAGCCAGGGCTTTATAGTGACACTATATCTAAAAAACATACCAAATGAAGTAAATAAGTAAATCTTTAAAAGCCAACAATTAACCTTAAGCAGAAAATGCCAGCAAATCTTTCTTTAAAACCTCCTGGTTTTTTGTTTTGTATGTTTGTTTGTTTTTTGTTTTTTGAGACAGGGTTTCTCTGTGTAGCCCTGGCTGTCCTTGAACTTGCTCTGTAGACCAGCATGGCCTCAAACTCAGAGGTCTGCCCTACCTCTGCCTCCCAAATGCTGGGATTAAAGGTGTGGGGAACCACACCTGGCAAACCTCTGCTTTTAGTGCTTTATTTGGTGTGTGTTGTGTGTGTGTGTGTGTGTGTGTGTGTGTCTTCTTGACATCACCTGTCGGTGATTTAAACTGTCAAAAGTCTTTCCCTCGCTATTGATGACTACATTTAAAAACTGTTTATATTTATATAATATTGTTATAATATAATATATAAATATATAAAAATATACATTATATTTATATTTAAATATTAGGTATGCTTCCCTGTGACTCAGCCGCTCCCACGGCTGTTGTATCTCAGGAGTGGTCTATGGAAGCCCCAAACTCTCCACACTCAGAGTCCTTCACGTCTCCAGAGGTTATTGGAGAAACCCTACAACCAGCAGCAGGTAAATGATTGAAAACAACTTCATCAGTTATTAGTTATGGCATCAGTAATGAGTGGAAGCACTCACACTTTTCTCAGCAGCTTAAAGCAGATACAGATAAAGAGATAAATTTATCTTTTTGTCTTTCTGTTTGAGACAGTGTCTCACTATAGAACCTTACCTGTAGACCAAGTGGCCTCAAACATGGTCTCTTTGTGTCTGCTTCTTGAGTGCTTTGGTGAAGGACATGCACCACCAGTTCTTGCTGGATGCAGAATTTTAAACACTGGGATGCTTAATTTTGAAATAGTCTTATGCTGTAATCTATGCTGGCCTTGAACTTGAGGCATTTTTCCGTGTCTTGCCCTACCAAATGCCAGAATTACCGGCCTGGGCCATTGTGCCCTTTCCTGACCTGTGAGTAGAAATGGCCACAGGTCCCTTTCTCATATTGGTTGTGTACCTGTGTTGTTTTAATCAAATATGTATTTTCTCTCTTAGCCATGTCTACTGTACTTGATCTTACCAAAAGGCCAAGAAGTAATGACTTGTCTTTTTATCATCGTTTCATGCTTTAAATGTTGACTTTGTCAAAGATAGATATCATACATTAACTCTGCAGCTTCCTAATTGGTGTAAGCTTGGTATTCATGCCAGGCACTGGTAGCACTCACCTTTAAGGCAGATGCAAGTAGATCTTTGTGAGTTCAAAGCCAGACTGGAAAGAATTTGATGTTCGTAAAAGCCAAGTATTTCTTGTTCCCTAAGAATGTAGTTTTTGTTTATTTAATTTTTATGACTTTTAATTTTTTTGGTATCTGTTCATATATAAATGCACCATATGTGTGCCTGGTACCCACAGAGTCCAGGGCATCAAATCCCATGGAACTGGAGTTAAGATGCTTATGAGCCATCATGTGGGTATTGGGAATAGAGTCCAAGTCTTTTTTTTCTTTCTTTCCTGAGACAAAGTTTCTCTGTGTAGCTTTGGCTGTCCTGGAACTTGCTCTGTAGACCAGACTGGCCTTGAACTCACAGAGCTCTGCCTGCCTCTGCCTCCTGAGTGCTGGGATTAAAGGGGTGCCACTACCACCCAGCTTAGTAGAGCCCAAGTCTTTTGGAAGATTGTTCATTGCTCTTAACTGCTGAGCCATCTCTCCAGCCCAGAAGGTAATTTTTGTGGTTGTTGTTATTTGGTTTTTGTTTTTGTTCTTGAGACAGGGTTTCTCTGTGTAGCATTGGCTCTCTGTACTGGACTTGCTTTGTAGACCAAGCTGGTCTTGAACTCACGGAGATCTGCCTGCCTCTGCCTCTTCGAGTGCTGGGGTTACGGGTGTGAGCTGCTGCACCCTGTCTTTTTTTAAAATGTCTTTTTAACATTCTGTTTTTGTGAGTACACGTGTATTTGGATGTGTGCGCACACGTGTATTTGGATGTGTGCGCACACGTGTATTTGGATGTGTGTGCATACGTGTATTTGGATGTGTGTGCATGTGAAGGGCAGTGGCGACTCCTGGAAGTCAGTTCTTGCCTTCACTGTGTGGGTCCTGCGGCTTGGACTCAGGTCATCAGGCTTCGCAGCAAGTGCCTTTTCTTGCTGAGCCATCATCCTGGCCCCGAAAGCAATTTTTTAAAGAGATTTTTTAAAAGATTTATTTATTTTATATATGTGAGTGCTCTTTATGTACACCTGCATACTAGACAAGGGCATCAGATCCCAGTTATGGCTGTGAGCTACCATGTGGCTACTGGATCTCAGGACCTCTTGGGAGAGTAGAAAATGCTCTTAACCACCGAACCATCTCTCTCTTACTTAGTTTTCTTTCTTTTCTTTTTTTTTTTATTATTTATTTTGGTGTGAATTGGTATGAGGGCATGAGATCCCCTGGAACTGGAGTTACAGACAGTTGTGAGCTGCCATGTGGGTGCTGGGACTTGAACCTGGGTCCTTTGCAAGAGCAGGCAGTGCTCTTAACTGCTGAGCCATCTTTCCAGCCCCAAGAAAGTAATTTTTAAATTCAGGATTATGAGTAGATAATATTAGGCCCTAAAATTTTTTAAAAATTATTTCCTTTTTCCTTAGTTTTTAAATTTGTTTTTATTTTATGTACATTGATGTTTGCCTGTATGTATGTATTATGTATATATGTCTGTCTGTCTATCTTAACCTCTGAGCCTTCTCTTTAGCCCTGTTAGGTCCTAAATTTTTAAACTTTATTTCCTTAGAGCTATCCCAGGAAATAGAAGTGGAATCAGTAAAAGAGCAGCTGCCAACTAAAGCATTGGAAATGATGGCAGAACAGAAGATCACTGATATGGTGCCATCTAGAGAAACAGAGCTCTCTCCATCTATAGACATGACACCAGACATGGAAACAGAGGTAGCAGTGGCTAAAGACACAGAAGAGACCACCAAACCAGATGCCATATTGGCAAATGTCATGCAGCCATCCATTGAATCAGATATGTTCCTGGCCGAGGACAGCAAACTACCCTTAGGAACAGACGAGATCCCTGTTAAAGAGATTGTATTGCCTGCAGAAGCAGTTGTATCTTCAGCCAAGGATATGGCACCGCCTACAGAAACAGAAATGAGCCCAGGCAAAGATGTGACACTGTCCAGTGAAACAGATATGACAATAAAAATGGACTTGGCACCACCTGAGGATATCGTACTTCCTAAAGAAACAGAGCTAGCCCCAGCCAAGGGCATGGTTTCACTCTCAGAAATAGAAGTGGCCCTGGCAACAGATACTGAGCCCTCTACAGAAGTACCTACAGCTGAGGAGGTGGTCCTGGCAACAGACATGGCCCTGCCCTCAGATACCATAAAGATGTTGACAGAGGATGTGGCACTCTCCTTAGCAACAGAGGGATCCCTGGGCAAGGACATGACTCCATTTCCAGAAACAGAAACCCTGGGCAAGGATATGGCTCCACCTACAGAAATGAAATTGGGCACAGTCAAAGACGTGGCTCTACTCCCAGAATCAGAAGTGGTTCTCTCCAAGGATGGGGTTACACTTCCAGAAACAGAGGTGACTGAGCTCAATAATGTTACTCCACCTTCAGAAAGAGAGGTATCCTCAATCAAGGACATGTCTCTGCCTCCAGAAACAGAGGCTTCCTTGCCTAAGAATGCCATTCTGCACTCAGGAACAGAGGTAACTCTGGATGACAGCATGACTCCAGCCAAGGATGTCTCACTGCCCTTGGAGGCAGAAGTAGCACTAGTTCAAATTAAAGACAAGGAAACTGCACAGATTCAAGAAGAACTAAGTGAAGACTCCCAGTTAGAATCTGTGCAGCACAAGGAACAGTCCACAGCACCTTCTTGCGTGATTTCACCAGGTACGGGCTTCTGCTTTCTCTCAGTATTCTCTCTACTGAGGTGGGACCAATGTCATTCCTGGTAAAATACAGCCTCACTGCTTTGCAGGTCCACTCCTATTCCTCCTAGTAAGCATCCTCACTCTCTCCATTCTCTGATAGCTAGTCCTATTCTGTGTTCATCCCTGCTTTTCTTCTAGACACGTGAGCCATTAAGATAAGATCCGCAGACCACCGTTAGCTCATCTTCATAGTGGCTTGTGTTCGCTGCACTGCCTTTACCTTTCTTCTCGTTCTGTGGCTAAACTGTCTTCTCAGTAAAGCTAGCCTCTCCTTACTTTGCAAAAAGTCCTGTACCCTCTACTCAAGTATCCTGCTTCCCAGCCATCATCTGCCTTCCAACTGCCCCTCCCACTTTTTGGTCTTTAGAGAATTCTACAAAACACATTCTCATTTCCAATTATTGGCAGATGAAAAATTAGTTGAAATACTATTTCTCTGAAACTGACTTGAATTTTACTCTTGCCTTTAGAACCAGTTAAAGCTGCAGACCGAAAATCTAACTTGCCAACAGATGAAGTTTCTGCATTAGAAAAGTTAGAGCAGAAGGAAACATCTGGCAGTCAGCCTTCTGAACTTTGTTCAGGTAAGTTGGGAGTCCCTGGAATGTTGCAGCTAGGAGTGATGGGGTGATGACGGGACATTATTTAGTTCCTGCTTGTGTTTTGCTAATTATTATCTTATGAAGTCAATTTTCTTCAGTACATTCCATTTCTTTAGGCAGAAAATTGTCTTCTTACATGCTTACTATTCTGTCATCAAGAACACTAAATTTTGATCCAGTTGAGCTTTTTACTATTTTATCAGATCTTTGGCTTGTTTCTGTTTTCTCAGTTCATTGAACTATTTTAAGGTGAAGATTTTAAGTGTTATAAGTATAAATACCATAAGTATACCTGGAAAAAAAAAATTGACCTGAGATGATCTTTGATAGGCCCAGCTAAGCATGAGAAATGTTTTAGAAAAACAATTTTTGTGAATGAATGAATGAATGAATGAATGAATGGTATGAAAATACACTACTTAAATGAATCACTTAACTTTTTTTAGAAATGATAACAAGGAATTTGTTGTTTAGAATTTTAGCTAAGTTCATGTATTGCAGGTACCCCTCCCTCACAAGGTAAACACGTTTGCAGACCCAGTGACCGCAGGTCAGCCTGGTCCAAGCCTGCGAGGGTCTCTCCTGAGTTGCTGGAAGGTTCTCCTTCATGGACGATTCTTGATCCCAGGCTGGGCCCCTACCCATTTTCTGAGTTGGGTTGGGTCTCTGGTTCATCTTCCTGTGGTGAACATGGGAACCAAAGAAAAATTAATCACGCCGAATTGCTAGTACCCCAGAGAGATCATGGCAAGGAAGTCAGGGATATAGAAAGCATGCCAATGATGGTGAAGAAAAAGAAGAAGAAACCAAAGCAAAAGAGATATCCTCAGTCGCGAGCTGGGGGACTGTGGGATGATGACAATGCATATGAGCCCAAAGATCATCCTGTTGCTCCCGGGTCCCTGAAGTCAGGTGTTGGCCCCAGCCAGCCTACTGCTGTGGGCACAGAATATGGACTTGTATCCAGAGAAGTCCTGAAGCATGACCATACAGAGAGGGTTACTTCATGTCCAGAACAACCTCCAGAAACTGTAGCAAATGCTCAGATCAAGCCGAGAGTAGAAGACCACAGGGGTAACAGTCCAGTGTCAGAGAAGCAAGATAAGAACTTGCTGCATCAAGAGGAACACAAATTGCCAGCTCTATCGTACCTGAAGCTGGATGTAAGCAGGATAGAGGGCCCATCGAGTGTGAAAGGAACCCCGATAGACAGTGCTACACACGAAGTGGCAACTCTGCTAGGGGGTGGTTCCCCCATATTGGGCCAAGAGATTATGAATAGAGTTTCAAAACCTACAACAGAGAAAGTGCTATCGAATTTGACCCTTAGTTCGACAGCAGGCAATCCAGTAGAAGACTTTCTAAAAGAAGGGAATAGCAAAAGTAAAATGACTAAACTGCAGATGTTTCCTGACAGAGTTAGCGATGTTAAAGAACTAAAACCAGAGACTTCCCTCAAGCAAAAAGAAGAAACTAGTCTGTTTGCTTCTAAGGAATGGAAAGACCAAGAACTAATTCAGGCTCCTGGGCTAGAGGGTGAGCTGTTTAAGAGAACAACAGGCGATGGCAAAAGCAGGAAGGGAAGGGGTTCTGGGAAAGTCAGAGCAGGCTGTGGGAAGTTAGGAGCCAAATCTGAGGTACCATTCCTTCTGAAGAGTGAGAAGGAGGCGGGAGCTGTTCCTTTGCCAAGTGAGCCAGTCCCTGAAACTAGAATAGTGAGTACTGAGGCTCCAAGAAGAGGGGTAGACTTGGACCCTTCAACGCAACCAGGGGCTAGTACTGATTTCACTGAGGCAGTGGTGAAGGTGGCCAGAGAGGAGGCTGATAGCGGTGTGGAAGGCACCATGCGGCCATTGATTGCTTTGGAAACTGGGTCAAACTTGACTCAGACTTTGGATGCTAGGACAGAAAGAGCTGAAGTTAAAAATATGAGCATCAGTAACCAGAGCAAGGAAGGAAAGTGTCCTTGGATGGATCATGAGTCAACTCCCCGGATTTCTGAAAAGACTAAAAAGAGATGTAATGAAGGCAGAAACAAAAAGCTTAAAAATAATTACCCGGTACAGCCTAGCAGAATGGAGGGCAAGGAGGAAATCGTCAGCCCACCTTGTGTAGAGAAGGAGAGTGATAATGGTAACGTTGCCCATAAAAACAGGGAGTTAGGGCAGATTTTTCCTAAAATACACGATTCTTTGTTCTCATGCGCATCATATACACCCACAGGAGAAGTTGCTGACAAAAAGAGTAAGAATGTTGAGTCTAAGTCTGTTGAACTTGGGGCTCTTGTTGAGAATAAAGCAAACTCAGTCCAAGGTTCTGCTGTTACTGCCAAGGCGGCAGAGGTGAGCACCCAAGACCCAATCCAGGTGACAAGATTTGTTCCCTCAATTGAATCTGAGGAAAACAAGACACATGTAGCCGTGGCACACACTGGAGTGGCTGACAAACCTAATAAAAGGAGTAATGATGGGAAATGTAAAAAGGTTAAAAATAGTTTTCCTGAGAAACACATTTTGCAGATTAAGACAGATACAACAAAAATGCATATTCCTGTGGAAACTACAGGAGATTGCAAAATTGAAGGAATGGGATATATGGATGAAAATAGAAATATTACATTTACCTCTGAAAGAACCCCATTAGAGCTGATGAGTAAGTCAGCTCCTGTAGAGGCGAAGGGATCAGCAGGCTGTGAAACACTTCCCTGCCCTACTCCTCAAGTAGTAAAGGAAGATGATTCCTTCCCAGACACTTCTAGAAAGAATGGGCAAGAGAGTCTCCTAGCTCAGAACTCCAAATTATTAGCTCAAGATATGTGTAGCAAAGATGGAGTGCCAGGTCAAGAACGGCCCAAGGCTCTCTCTGCTGCTGTGCCCTTTACTAGCCCAGGAAATGTTGAGAGTTTTATAGAAGCTCAGGAGAAGTTTAACAGTCGTGGAGATCACTCTCTTAAGAATAAGGGTGAGATTGCTGGTTGCCAGAGAAATAAAGTAGGGACAATCCCTGAAAAGCATGAGGTAGGAGAGTCTGAGTCAGAGCAGCCTGGGTCCTCTAAGCATTCAGCCCAGCATGCCATGGAGCCAGCTAAAGGACACTTCCTTCCTGGTGTGCTCACAGAAAGCCAGAGCCTGCCAGAAGAGGTCAGAGTCCTAGACACCCATGCAGATAGTAGAGATTTGCCAGCATCTCTGGTGAAGAAAGAGAAGAGAACTGAGAAGGACTCTGCCCAAGTTCAAAAGCCTGACCCTCTGAGCAGTAAAGCACAGAAATTCAGTTTGTCTGAGGACCAAAATGAGAGAGAATCCAAAGGCCCAGATAGTTTGGATAAGAAGGTAGCTATCAGTCCAGAAAATGAAAAAGATAAATTAAAAGAAACTAGTCTGTCCTGTGAAGTCACAAAATTGGATTGTGTTACCATGTTAACAACAGAACTTCAGTCTGATGTCTCATGTGGCAGTGTTGAGGGGGAAAGTAAAGTAGTGGTGACGGCTTACAAGGATCCTCAAGTCCTAGAGTTCAAAGGTAACGGGGTCGGAGCTCCTCAGAAGATGACGGGGATGTCTGAACTGAAGGTGCTGGGTGAAAGGAAGAAGGAAGATAAAGGCAGAATGGCAGAGCCAGTGAAAGGCTACATGAGACCAACCAAGTCTCGAGGACTTACTCCACACTTGCCGAGGTCTGCAAGTCAGGAGAGAGAGAGATCCAAGCTGCTCAAGTCTAGTGGTATGACCCTGCCATGGGGAAGTGTGTGCTTGTGGCTTTTGAGCAGCATCAGAAAAGCAAACAGCTTGTGCCTTGGTTCCATTTAGACTCTAATCATCCTTGTTAATCATTGGTTTGTTGGCATGAGAACTCGTAACTGCTACTTAGGTGGGTTTTTTTCAGCCAAGGCATGCCCCTGTGTTCAGCTTGAGACTGGCGAGTTGGTTGCATGTCTTTTTAATAGAGCACTGAATCTTGAGATTTATTGGAAGTTGGGGAGCGGGGAGCATTGCAGCCCTTTTTTCTTATATTGTATGTACCTCCTATGTATAAAGTTAGGCAAAGTATCAATCATTATTTGTGCTAATATTTGCTGGAGGGTGAGCTAGAGAGATGGCTCAGCAGTTAAAAGCACTGTCTGCTCTTCCAGAAGTCCTGAGTTCAATTCCCAGTTACCACATGGTGACTCACAACCATCTATACTAGAATCTGATGCCCTCTTCTGGCATGCAGGTGTACATGCAGATAGAGAGCTCACACATGCTAACTAACTAAACAAACAAACAAACAAACAAACAAATCTCTCTTTAGCCAGGCATGGTGCCTTTAATTTCAACACTCAGGAGGCAGAGGCAGGCAAGTCTTTGTGTGTTTGAGGCCAGCCTAGTCTATAAAGTGAGTCCAGGACAGCCAGGGCACTGTTACACAGAGACTGTCTCAAAAAACCAAAAGCAAAAGAACAAAACCAACCAACCAAACAAACAAACAAAAAACCCAACAACAACAAAAACTTGAAGAAGGAAAAAATACGTAGTCTGGCTGAGTATGTGAAACTTGGCTTTTTTTGTTTCTCTCTTTATAGTATATAAATAGCCTGAGCTAGTGGGAGTAAACATCAAATTGCTTGTAAATAAAATGCAAATGGTGTGCCTTTATCTTTGAAGCGCCAGCCTAGTGTTGGTAGGCACAGACTTCATGTTCAAGTAGTGGGAAATGATCTCTCAAGGTGCCAGGTAGGCTAGGCTGATTTGATAGTTTTGCTGCTGACAGCCATTTTATGTGGATTAGAGTTTGAAGCAGTCTCTGTGTTTATCAAACAGTTCATAAAGCATTTCCTTGCCTTTGAAGATTTTTGCAGCCAACAAATGGTGTTTTCTTAACCAGTTTGCATGATCCAGCTACTACTAACTTGGGAAATTTAAAAACAACAAAGGGGCTGGAGAGATGGCTTAGTGGTTAAGAGCACTTGTCTACTCCTCCAGAAGTCCTGAGTTCAATTC